GATGGCTACAAATCCCCTGGAACTCTTCATATCTATAACCTCTTTTCATTCCCGACAACGAGGGCTCACACGCGACAGGGTAGTTTTAAACAATTCACCCTTCAAAACCCTCCCACATGGTTAACTTTATTGCTATTTCCGGGCATACGTCCTGGGGACACTTCGATTTTACTTACGTCGATGGAAGTTTGTCAAGGGTGCCGTCGAACGGACAATTGAAATTCAATTTTAACTAAGCAACAACGAACAACGAATTTCCCACTTTTCCGAATAAATTGAATTCTTAGCTTCTCCTACCTCGTTAAGTGAATAATCGTGAATCCTTTATCTCGAGTACCTATCTACTGAGTATTTACCATTGAAATTGTATTTTTACCAATATATCTGTCATAATTTTTTCTTTTTAAATTAATAAATCATTCTTCATTGGAAAATCACATCATACTTTGCTTGTTCATTTTTAAACTGATGAAAAATCATATCTGGTGTTTATCGGTACTTGGATCGAGATGATATTTAGCATTAAGAAATCATTCACAATTTCTCGAGTCGAAGTAAGGATCGACGCGCACATTCTCAGGTGAAACCGGTGTCCCGAGAATTCACCGCGCGAACAAAACACGATTACTCGGATTTTCGAAGAGGAGACAGTAAACTTTCAACGGTGGATGGGTGGTATGGCAACAGCAAGAGGTAACGGGATTGCACTTTCAACTTGCGCCGGCTGAAGTCAATTCGATAGCAGTTAACGAATTGTTGGGGGTGAATAGAAGGGGTTTGCGGTTAACGCGAGGGGTCGAAGGGGAAACGCATAATACATTGTTACCCCGACCACCGGGTTTCAGCCCTTCCTCGCGCAGTAATTTTCTCCGCGCGGAACCGACGTCGGGGCATGAACTATCTCATAATTAAAATTACCGTGCTGCACGTACACACCTCGAAATCAACGACACCCCAAACGTGTCGCTCTAAATACCGTCACCGGCGAATTTATTTTACTTTTATCGCGGCTCATCTGTCCGCCGATTGTTCGCGAATCAATTGTCACCGGCCAATGGATCACGGACTTTTGTATAAAATAAAGTCGTCTTCGTGTTACTCGCGAGGATTAAAATTTACGATGATACGAGAGAATTTACGACGACCGACGTGGAATCGACTGCAATCGTTCGTTTCAACTTGCATGTTTCCATTTTATTCCATGATTTAATATTGTTCAACCTTTTTCACTCTAGAAACGACTCACGGTCGCCGTTCGTTTTAACATAGCAAAATCAGAATGTTCAATATTCAATATCGTATTTGATATTAATGTAGTTAAACGTAAAGTATTAAAATATAATAATTTTATTCGTCGATTCGTGTATGATATCTATTTAATAGAATCAATAGTTTAATCAACGTTTCATTGGAAAATAATGAATATATGTAACAAATGTACTTTCAGGTGCAAAGGGTTAACGCACAGTTGTGTAAACACAATATCCGTCATATTAGCTCTTATCACGAGAGAATGATAAGTAACGCTAAAGAGCTAAGGGGTTCGCCGGTGGAAATTCAAATTTCGTACGATGAAATTAACATTTCCGTTTATCTCGAGGTGTGGCGTACAAGCGGCGCGATACTTTTAAAATTGCTCTCGGTTAAGTTCCTCCCGTTCCCAGCCGTCAAAGCATTTAAACGGCGAGAAATGGTCGGAGGGTGGTGGCAAATACCAGCTTTCTTCCCTCGGTTCTTTGCTCCGTCGATTTAAAACATTTGCCCTCCGTGGAACGAAAGTTCTCCGTGTCGTTCAGCTAGGGGCGCCGCGAAATCGCCCTAATATTGGATTATATCAATATACGGGGCGCGCGTATATCATATCACGGGCTACGTAACCGGTTACTAAATTCCCGATTTCTTTACGGAGATAAAAGAAAACGGTTACCTGTTTTCACGAGTCAACCGTTTGAAAGTCGCAGCAACACTTTGCCTTCCCGACTCCATCGTGAAACTTTCTCATCCCTGAAAAACTTACTTGCAATAATTTTTCATTTTCTTACACAATCTTTCCTATAATATATAAACACGGAAAATAGTAAATATTACATAATCAGTAATAATAACAGTGCAAAATTAAATAAAACGCTAACACAAGATCAAATTCACCGATCCATCCGTTAGACCAACATCAATGCAACCAGCACGAATTGAACGATTTCATTCGATGGTCGAGTAACACCTTTACAGTCACAGAGGACACCTTATCTACTCAAACATCGTGAACGCGACAGTCCGTTACAATCGCGTGAAATCCGTGAAACGGAGATCGATTCGGGAGCGAAACGCTAGGACTGAAATCGATAAAGCGTTTTCCCGGCTAGGGGTCGCGAGCCTCGTCCTTTCCCTTCTCTACCCTTTCTTCTGCTTCTGTTTCTGCTTCTTCTGCTTCGTCTTCCTCTTCTTCTTCTTCTTTTTTTTATATTCGAGCCACTTCGCGCGAAATGAAGGCGTCGATGCTACTCGTTTGCCGCCCAGGGACACTCGATTCCGACCAGGGTGAAGGATATTGGAAGCGAAATGCCCCGGCCCACTAGTGTACTACACTTGAAGCCAGGAGTAGAAGGAGTCCGCGAGTAGTCGGCCGAGTGACTCGATTCTTTCGGATATTAAACTCTGAAGATGCCGCACTTCGCCGCGGCATCTGACTCAGCGAGTGTCATTAATAACTTTGGAGGAGATAGATAAAGTGCTAAACACCGGGCGGAGCCGTGTGCTCGAGCACACGTCATTACCCTGGCTACCCACCGCCCGCCGCGGCGCGGTTCGATTAAGGGTGCCTAATGCACCGACCTTGTCGAGGTCGGTACCGCTTTTCAAAGAAGTGCCTCGATCCCAACCGAACGCCCCCGCCGCCGCGCCGTCGCAAGGTTTTCAAAAAGGAAAAGGGTTACCCACTTTACCAGCGCGCTACGCTCGCGAAACTGCCTGGGGAACGCAGCGAAACGTCGATCGTACGAACTATGTAACTGGGAGAATCCGTAGTGAGTTTTCCGATGATTGATTTCGAAGAAGCGAATTTGCGAACATGTCGTGAGTCTTCTAAGAAATTAGCGCTGTGACTATCGAGCGTTTAACATGATTAACCCTTTACGGTCGAATACCGCCGTAATGGAGACTTCGAGCTTTAATATCTAAATTCGAAAGCTGCGAATGAATAATTAAATTATTCGACTAACGAGAGATTGATGTAGTGTTCTTTTTGCTAGTGTAAGACTCCATAACTCAGCTTTGTTATCAATAAACTTTGCTAAAGTTTAAAACATTTTCGTCCGTAAGGGGTTAGTATGTAATCCTAAAAATTGTAGCAATAGATTTTTTCGGTTTCTTCGTGTATTCGTTGCGGTATTCAAGTGAAATTTATTTTTAGAATTCGATGTTATAACTTTTTAGTATTGGTACACCGAATTTCATTTTTCCGTTACCTTTTTATTTGTTTATATCGAACTTGGCATTCCGTAGGACGTTTCCCTGTTTATCGGTAGGGAAAATCGTGCTGAAACGTGCTGAATTAGTAACAACAGATGCGCCGTTAGCAATAAGGAATCGATTGTAATCCGATATTAAATGTGAAGATTATTTATTTATTCAGCTCGGAAAATATTTCGTTAATTCAATTCAAATTTTCAAACTTTTTTAAAAATTGTTCGCGTTTGCTTCATTTTTTTTTTCTTTTAA